AGTGTAGACCAGGCCTCAGTTTGCCTCCCGCCTTCCGATTCTCAATCTATTCCTCCCTGTTAGGGAGGCCCACATCAAAAATAAATAGCCGCCCCCAGCGATCTCCTCCGCCATCTGCAAGAAAAAGTTGCTCCCAGCCTATTCTAAGAACCGGCTGGACAGTCAAGGTCCTGCCGTATTGTTGTTCCAACAGATGTCTGGATAGGTAAAGTCCCCTCTTATCACCACGGCCTGGGCTTGGGATATGTCTGTTGTGAAAACGTATCATCCACCTCCTACTTCTGATTTGGGGGCCTGCAGTAGACCCCTCCTCTGACGTCACCCTTGTTTTTTCCCCTGGCATCTTCCCCCAGAGACTTTCAAGGGGAATGCCTCTCACCTCCTCTTTCTGGCCCTCAGAACTACTGTATACATTCTTAATATACAACGCAGCACCTCCTCCCTTTTTTCCCTGCTGGCCTTCCTGAACAAGAGACCCCCTCTGCCAATATTCCCACCGTTGGATTTATCCCACCAAGACTCTGGGATGCCAATTCAGTCCTGATTCTGTTTGTGTGCCCGGACTTTCAGGTCTGCCTCTTGATTTGCCATCCCCTTTGCATTAGTGTACAGACAGCTGAGATGTGGGGCAGATTATCCCACTGTTTTCCCTCTTGCTCCTCCAATGGCCTCTTGCAACTTCCAATAGCCACCCCGCAGCTTCCAGCCTTTTACCCAGGTCACCCGGTAGTGAGGCAAGTCAGGGGTTTGTGAGGGGAGACACTGAGCTGGGGTCTTGGCAGGTAACAGAGGAAAAACCTGATTTGATCTAGATCTTTGTGATCAATTTCAAGTCTGCAGATGGGGCCATTCTGGGATTGGAATCCAAGGGCCTTTCTGAGACTGATTTACCACCAAAAACGTCTCTGTTCATTTTTAAGCGGGGGGTTGTCGCTATTCACAGTGATGTTAGGAGCCTGCTGGGCGCATGCTTCACACCTCCCCCCCGCGGGCGACAGGCGAACTCGGGGAAGGCGAAGGAGGGAAGGGGCTCAGAGGGGGTTTCCCCAGCCGGTACCTGGCGATGGTTCCCGTCATGAAGGCCATGGCCAGCGTCTGCCGCAAACGAAAGGAAAGGGGGCGATTAGCTGTGGGGCCAGTCCCAGCGAGGGATCAAAGCATCGTGTCGGCTTCGCGGGTCCCGAGATGTGGGGATTCACATAGCCTGAGGCGTGTGTTTTAGGCACAGGTGTGACCCTGAGGTAGGGGGCGGGCCATGAAAAACACATACCCCTCCCCCATTTCTACCCCCCCCCATGTGACCCCAGCCCCAATCCTAACCAGTGTTCAGCCATCAAAGCCGTCCCTCAGTTCCATCCCACTCCTCCCCACAGGCCCCACTCCCCACCTTTGGGGCGCCCCCCGGTACAACCCGGCCCCACGGCCCCACTCCCCGGATCACGCCCCCGCCCCCCGGTACAACCCGGCCCCACAGGCCCCACTCCCACCTTTGGGGCGCCCCCCCGGTACAACCCGGCCCTACAGCCCCACTTACAAAGATACTGAGCAGGATGACGTTCCACGGGGAAGCGTCTCCTGGGGGAAGTCAGGGGAACACACAGGTCAGGGGGCAGGTAGTCAGAGCCCGGGGCGCTGCGCCGCAGGCTGGGGGGGAACCGGGGGGGTCGGGGGTGAGCTCAGCGTGATGTCGACCTGGGGCGAGGGCACCACTTTGGCCTGATGAGACTGCAGGGCACAGGGGGGTCCCCGTAAAAACCAACCCCCGGTCAGGGTAGGCCATGGCCCCAGATGGACAGGAATCGACCCTGGGGGCAGCCTTGTCTCATCGCCCCTTGGGGATGGAGCCAGAGCCCGTTCTGGCCACGGCCCCCGGCCTCAGTCACTCCCCCCCAACCCGCTTCCCAGTGCCCGGGGGACTCTGAGCCGGGGCGGGGTGCGGGAGGGAGGGGCCGCCCTCTCTGATCCCCAGTGAAGGAGACACTCACCTGGGGCCCTGGCAGCACGCCAGCAACAGGTAGGTGACCAGAAACACACCACTGGGGAGAGAGAGAGAGAGAGAGGGGGGCTGGGACCCTTCCCAGCTCTGCTGCCCACCCGGCCCTGGGCCAGTCGGAGCCTTGTGCCGGCAGCAGAAGGGCCGAGGTTTCACACCCACAGAGCCAGAGTCCAATGCCCGGTGTCTCCAGCCACTAGCTCTGCCCTGCTGGCCTTGTGCCGTGTGTTGCCTTTGCCTCCACCTGGGGATCTCAAAGCACCCAAACAACATTCCTCACGTTTCCCATCGTGCCTCAGGAGTAGGGACGCGTTATCCCCCTGGCACAGAGGGGAAACTGAGGCACAGAGCAGCAGCTGAGCTCACACGGTGCGTCAGTGGCAGAACTGGTATTAGCAGACAACTCCTCACCCGCAGCCTCATGCTTCAGCCACTAGATCTCGCTCCCTCTGCATGTCTTAACCCAAGATCAGACGCCTAGAAGGGACCTCCGGGGCCATTCAGTCCCGTGTCTGCTCTCGCAGGCAGCCCTGTCAAATCTTCCCCGCCCTGATGCCTTCCCCCCCCACAATGAATTTATAGACAGCAATCAGCTCCCCTCTCCGCCCTCGTTTGCTGGGCTAAACGAGCCAAGCTCTTTAACGCTCATCCCCGACCCTCCATTCCCCTGATCATCCTAGCAGCTCTTCTCTGCACCTGCTCCAGTTTGAATTCATCTTCCTGAACATGGGCGTCCACAGCAGTACGCAGTACCCAGATGAGGCCTTAACAGTGCCTTCCATCAGAACGTTAATACTTCTCTCTCCCCTGGGAACGCCTCGCCTGATACATCCTGGGAATCACACTTGCTTGTTGTCATGGCTGTGTCCCATCGGTAGCCCACAGTCATTCCACAGTCAATGAATACCCCAGGTCTTCCTCCTCCTCCGCCATTCCCAACTGATGAGCCCCCAGTTTATAGCAGAAATTCTTATTATTCTCTAAACGCCTGACCCATTTCTAGGTCTCCAATCTGATGGCCAGCCAATTCTTCCTGGATGATATTCCGATCCTCCTCTGCACTGACGATGCCTCCCAACATATATCACCAGCAAATTTCATTAGCACGCTCCTACTTTTTCTGCCAAAGCCGCCAATGGAAATATTAAGTTAGACTGATTCCGAGACCGATCACTGAGGAATACCACTAGTCACCTCCCTCCAGCCTTTCAGCATAACCCAGTATCAGCTGCTCTGTAGCCAGTTCCTTAGCTGCCTTCCAATTCCTGTACGAGTCCTCAGAGTGTCATCTTCACTGATGATTTCCCACGTGGTCCTGTATCGAATGCTTCACTGAAATCCAGATAGACAGATCTGCCACATTTCCCTGTCTAGAGAATCAGTTAAGAAAGAGGCCAGGTTTGCCTGGCACGATCTACCTGTGGTGAGCCCACTGCACTTTATCCCATTTACCTCTGATAAGTCTTTCCTTCAAAATTTGTTCTCAAGCCTTGTCCACAATTGGGCTCAGACTCATGGGTCCATGGTTGTCTGAATCACTTTTTCCCTCTCTTATTCTCCAGTCATATGGGACACCCCCAATTTGACATATTAATTAAAACTCCTTGCAAGTGGACCTGCAATTGCATAACCTTCCTTGATACAGTGACATTCTCAGCAGTAACACTGCATTAGCAGAGTTTTTTGCATTTGATTTCCTGTTTTTTTTCTGTAGAGAAAGTGATTAACTACCCTTCTCCCTCCCCATGCCACCAGGGGCTGAAGGGAGCACCAACACAGTACCCTCTGTCTCTGGCATGGGGCACCAGTGCCTTGTGGCACTCAGCAGGGAGCCCACTGACCGAGCGGCGGTGACTCTGCCAGGTCTCACACAGCAGCACAGGGGCCGAGCCAAAGGGTAGGTGGGCCCGGGATGAGCAAGGTGGGGAGCTGGCACTGGCAGCTCTGCCCACGGGCAGAGTGATACTTACTAAGAGGAGTAGTACACAGCAACGTTCCCCTGCACAAAGATGCGGACGGGGGAGCTGCGAAGAGGGAGAAGAGCGTGAGATTGGTTCCTGGCTACACCCGTCACCACGTGGCCCCTTCTCTGCTCCCTGCAATCTCCACCCCCGATGTTCACAGCGTGGGCCCTAGCGAGCAGCAGACTGACCTAAGGGAAGGCTGGGAAGTGAGACGCTCCCTGCTCGTCATCACCCCCAAGCCGCTGCCTGCCCCCCACACAGCGCAGACCAGCTGTGAGGGCCCCAGCCCGGGAGCAAGGACCCTGCCCCACTCTGTGCCCGGCTCCCCAGACAGACCCACCAGGATCCATCCCAACTCCTGCCAGGGCAGGGCAGGGCAGGGCAGGGTCACCCCCCACAGCCCGTCCCACAGGGCTGCCCCCAGTCCAGCTTTAAACAGCCCCGGGGCGGGGGTCCCCGTCCCTTGTGAGACGGTGCCCGTCTCCTCCATCCCCTGGCGAGGCTCTGGCCCCTCCCCTCAGTGGGGGGGATGTGGCATTGGGAGCAGACGGCTTCGTTCCTCCGGAGAGTCCCTGGGACGTCCCAGCTCCTGGGGCCCCGTGGAGCAGGGACCAGCCCCTGGGACAGCAGCTGCTGGGGGCTGGCGGTGAGGGCAGGGCTCAGGACAAGGTGAGACTCACACGAAGGTGAACACGGCGATGATGCCCACGGTCACCAGCAGCTGGACTGAGATGATGGTGTAGACCTGAAGGAGACAAGCACAGAGGGGTCACCTGTGGGCACTGGCTCTGCTCCCTGCGGGG